CCCATCTCAAAATGCTATCGAAAACCTGCAGAATGACTTGAAGGCTGTGCTCCCTTGCAAATCTGATAGCCATGTTGTATTTTTGCAAGGAAGAGTGGGTTGAATCTTCAACTCTTAAAGTTGGCGGACTCTTACCCAAAAGATTGAGTGCTGTTTGACGAGCAAAAGGTGCTTTAACAAAGTATTAGTTAAGGTGTGTGCACACTTATGCAACCAGGTAATTGAGAGTATTTTTTTTTCCCGACAGTTCTGTCAGACAAATGTTTTAGGACACTGTTGTCTGATGCTGTACATCAGATTATGGCTCAGATATTTGAGGTCATACAATAACAGGATTAAAGTTTAAATATTACATAATGAAAGGAACTGTCATTAAAGCTTTCTGTGCAATCTCATGTAGACATTTGAAGTATCAAAATCCAAATCTTTTGCAACATTGTAAAATGGGAGATTTCTTACAGACACAGCTCAAGTATAGCTATTAATTGTAGCCATGGCTATGTATTACGAGCGATACTCAAGAGTCAGTGCATAGAACAGGCATACTGATTTAATTTATGTACTGTAGAACGTTTAGCAGATTTACTTCATATCTGAAAGTTAACATGAATCCTGACCACCCTAGTACTTAAAGGCATCATAAGTGTGATATTACTAATTAAATAGGTTAGTGTCATACCTTTTTCCTCTCTAATGCAAGCTCCAGTTCCTTGGTATCCTCCTCTGTCTCCTCTTCTCCATCAGAGTTTTCTCTAGAGTGGTTCCTACTTTGCTGATTACACTGAGCAGGGCTTTCTCCATCACACAGTGCAGGAGAGCCTAAAGACGCCTCTCCCTCAACCTCCGGCGCATTCTCCACCTTCTCGTCCATTGCTAGAATCTTCTTCCTCCATTTCTCTTCTGCCTCTTTCACTTCAGGTGGTATTAGAGGTGCGAGGAGAGAGGCAGCTACCCCTTTCCTCTCCTCCTCATCGCTAGTTAAAGCCACTACACTCTCCATTACTTCCTGTTTAAAGACAGAGGGTTAGGAACTATCTATCATTTAATACTAATTTAACCATTGTGAATAAAATGAATAACAGACATGGAGACGAAGTAAACATCTAAAACATGCCTTCTTTTTTGGTTCCTGTTTCAATGCAGTGACAGTCGGAGCGGAGTGCTGTTCAGGATAACTCGCTGCCTGATGTAACACCTCGCTGCCGTTAACAGATGAGCTGTGAAATATGAAAACTATTCAGCTGAAATAAACTGAGAAGAACTTAAATTTAAAAAGTCTTCTGCCGAGTAACCCGTTTGAAATTTAAAAAAAAAAAAAGGCTCATTTAAAAAGTAACAACCCCATTTTTTATTGACTATGGTTTTTTTTAAAAATTTGCTAACTCATGCAATTTCTGATAACATTTAACTCCAAAAGCTCACCTCTCTGAGTACTGCTGTAGACTCTGCATCTGATCGGCCAGATAGTGGGGAAGCTCCCAGGCCACCTCATTAGTCTGGGTGTTCCAATAGTAGTAGCAGCCCGTGTTCTCATCCCATACCTCCTGCCAATCACCCATTTCAACCCCAGCTAAAGAAAAACACAAAGAAAAAAGTCCCAAGTTTGTTTTCTGCATAGTGTGTCATAAAATCCCATACTTAATACCTATTATTTTAGAAATTCTGTGTTTCACAATAACCAGCATCTAAGTAACCACTGTCATCAAAATGGTAGGGCCATTCCTTTTAGCTTTAAAAGTGAAACTCAGAGCCTGCCAACTAATTTACTAACCTCCTGCCAGGGAGTACTGTGTATTATACTGAAACTCCTGTGCAGAGCCATTCTGTGCATAAGCGTGCTGTTCTGTCTTGGGTTCAGGCCGAGGAGGGGTAGGTGCTGGATCACTGGGCTCCTCCTTTGTAGTATCATCGGTCTGGACTGGCTGAGTGGTGATAGCATCAATTTCCTGCAGCAAAGATTAAGAAAAAAATAATAGCACCACTCACACAGATGTAGGGTATTTCAGAAAGCCTTTACAATTACGATTTTCAATTTGAGTAAATAAAACAAAGCAATACATCAAGACTTAAGGTGCTTCATGAGCATATCAGGAAAACGAAGCAGAATGTTACTCACAGCCATAAAACTTGCAAGTGTACTGTCAATGTCTGCAGAGCGATTGAGCTTTGCTTTGGCAGCAGAACCGCTTGCTTCAGATGCATCTTCTTCCTCGCTGTCCTCATAAGCACCGAGCAAAGACAATCCCTCTATAAAACAAATCCAAGGCATGTCACTTCAGAATCATTTTACAGTATACATCCAAAACACAAAAATGACTTGAAAAAGATCCACCATTTAAAGAAAATTGGCTTGCTATTATTTCAGAGATTTCTGAAGTAGGAAAACCCATAGGCTGAAATTTAAAGGAGACATTTTTGAAAGCAACTGGGGTAAATGGTTCTTGTTTACTGGTCAAGAGTGCTCGGCTCTCCTTGCTATTTTGTTTGTACGTGTACGTCAATCACCAGTCTTTATTGCTGTAACTTGTACGTAACCAAGAATGTAATTCTGAATTACACTTACAGTCTTTAATTCTAAGTATAGACTATATGTGTGATACATGATTAAGTAATATTTGATGTTAGACGCTCTTAATCTCTGGCATTTGTTTTATTTAAGTTTTCCCATTTTAGTTTGTATATTATTGCTGTGCCTCTAAAACGGAAAATAAACAAATAAAACTACGTAACGAGAAATGTTGCAGGCAGCCATCAGTAAATTCTTTACTCACGTGTTGCCTTCACCGCTGAGGTCTTCATTTCCATGTTCACCTCCCTGTAGACTCCTTGCCCGTCCTTGCCCGTATAACCTTCTGTCTCCCCTAAAAGACAATTACCCAATTTCTTAGAAAATTGAACATAGCAAAGACATTTTGCTACTGAAATCCCAAAACAAGCAGCAAGTTGTTAAACTTTTTGCCACCAAGGACCTCTTTCAGTGCTGAGAAATTTCAGAGCACAAATCTGAAATTAATCCAACTACTGAAATGTTAGACAAGTGTTCTATCATCGTTACTTACTGGACCCTTGTATTCCTTGTCAGGACTTTTCCCATAGATTTAGGTTAAGACTATATATTAAGAAATTAAGAACATTCAATAAAAATCAGAAGAAAAAAAATAGTGGGATCATTTTTAAACGATTAAATTTCCATGACCAATCAGCCTAAAATCCAGCCTAGTCTGATTAGCTCCCAAAACACAGGAGAGCTGGTCAGGCTGGTGGATTATCTTCACCAGCTGGCAAAAGGAGAAAATAACACAACAGTAAAGCACTTAGAAAATCTCAGGTATTTATTGATCAATTTAGATAAATAATTCGGAATGTGGGAAATAACTAGATGGTCTAGCCGCATGAGGAGCTCGGCCTGTGATCTGGCAGCTGCTCAGACCGAGCTGGGCTAATAACCATTATAACTTAATAAAACTTCAACAACTTTGATAGTAGTTTATATATATAGATCATCACCTTATTTTAAAACAGACTCCTCATTGAGAAACGTGGCGTTACACTAATGTTAGCTAACTTTCTTTTGTACACATCAGTCCGTAAAACAGCTTTAGAGTAGTGAAGCCATTATTTCCTCCTTTGCTGTCTCGAAAACAGCTCGACACAGTGGACCTTGCAGAAAGGCTGTGAAATCCGCAGAAAAAAAAAAAAAAAACACGAAGGTTTTTTTTTCCAGCTTGCATTTTTTTTTTAACTAATTTTGCTAGGTCACGCGGATGTTTTAATCTCTACGGGCTAGCAGAGTTAGCAAGCTAACTGCGTTACCCAATCTAAACGGAAAACATTTTGTGACTGAGTTAACTTATAGTATTTCCTGCTTAGCCAGCAACACTTTTCACTGCCATTCGAGCAAGATAGTTATCTTTGATTAATATTCAGCGAGCTAGCTAGCTACATTATTACTATTATTATTTTCTTCAAATGTTCGGTTAATAGTGGCCTAGCTTGCTAAATTAGCTGCTTAGCTTATTCACTTCAGCTAGCGTGGTTAGCCAAAGTGGCTTGCACGAGCCGGAGCAGTCAGGCCTAGGCGAGGCACGGATGTGTTCATGTCTGAACGAATGGCAAGATTTAAACACCGCTCCCGATCAAACTGTCTGAGAGATAAAATACATACACATACACATACACATACAAAATGGATATTTTCTGACCTTCAGAGCCAGAGCCTACAGCCTCGTCTCGGGCTGCTCCTGTGCCGCTGCGCAGTCCTGGCGGTGAGAGCTGTAAAATGGTCCGTCGGCCCGGCCCTGTGCGGGTTTTCTTTCCCATCACTGTGCGCGAGTGGCGGCGCTGGTAATGGAGCCGAGCTGCTGGCACAGCATCAGCTTCACGTCCAGTGCCGTGTGAAGGCAGCGACAGCACAGCGCTTCTAGCGTCTCCGCAATAAAACATCAACCACCGCACGATTTACTCTTTCAACTCTTTCAGATAGGCTCAAAAACAACTTTGTATCGCGATACGGATTTGTTTGCTACCCGTACTTCTCATACAGTCTTCTGATATTGCCAAAAGGCCATTTATTAAATGCCTTAAGGTGCCATTTTTGCTGTTTTTCTGTAACTCCAGAATTACTGGCACCCTTTATGAAATATGTGCAAAATAGTATTTAAAATACCATTAGCACATGCAGTGTGTGATAATACTAGGCTTAAATATATAGGAATTTGTTTATTTTGGAAACATTTTTCATTCATCTGAATCAGAGTAATCTGATTTTTTTCTGAAAAACAAAAGGATCATACATTGAATCATTCATTCATTAACTGCTTTATCTCTGGATCACTGGGAGGAGTGAGGTGAGAATACACCCTGGACCGGTATCATCCACACACATTCACACTTAGGGATATTTAGGAAAGTGGGAAGATACCAGAGAGTCCCAGAGGCAACACACACAGAGTAACCCAAACACTGCTTCCCACTACTCCACCACTGTGTTGCTCATCTAAGCAGTGGTAGCTCAGTGGTTAGGCATTGGGCCACTGAGCAGATGGTCATGAGTTCAAATTCCAGCCAACTGCCAATGTTGGGCCCATGAGCAAGGCCCTCTTCTGCCTTCATCTGCCCAGTTGTATCCTGTCTAAATTGTAAGTTGCTAAAAGCATCAGCTAGATTTAGCCAATGAGGTAAACGTAAAAAATATACTAAAAAAATTTTTCAATATTATCAGCACCCCTACTATTAATATTTGCTTATGTCTCCACTATAACTGCACTTTTTTATCTTTATATAATGACAAACAAGTTTGGAGGCACCCTGTAGTTTGTGCAGGGTTCAAATCCTGAGACTGAGATAGCCATTTCAAAACACTGGTTTTATGTCCCTCAAATATTTCTGTGCTGATTTGGATGTATGTTTGGGGTCATTATCTTAATTTTCTTAACCTCCTGATAGAAGCAACCAGGTTTAGGTTTAAATCACTCACTCAGTTTCAGTAACCACTTTATCCAGGTCAGGGTGATGGTGGACCCAGAGCCTATCCCAGGGTAACACTGGGTGTGAGGTAGGAATACACCCTGGGTTTGATGGCTGTCCATCACATGGTTTTGGGTTAAGGAAATGATTGTGGATAAATGGCTTCCCTGAAGTGCATCTCCGCCTGCTAGTGAGCCGAAGACATGTTTGCTTTTTACACTCGCTTCAATCTGTTTGCAACAAAAACACTAGAGCAGTTTTGGTATTCAACACACAACACAAGCCCGTAGCAGCACAGGGAGTAGCTGTAGAATCAATATCTATTTGTCTCCTGCTACTGGTTGAGTCCCAGACAGCTTAGCAGTGCATTAGCAGTGCATTAAATAGTCAAAATTAAACACTGATGTAGGTAACCTCTTACCGTAAAGGACATATTGTTTTACCTACTATTAGCATGTTATATAGTATGCTAGTATGCGGTTTGGGAACCAGCCTTTAAATTGCCAACTGGCATTGAAAACAGACTAACTTACAAAAATGATACTATTTAAATAAGTAATTCTTATGAGAGGTGCCTGTAAGTTATTAGGTTATGCAGTTTTAATGATTGAACTTGTCTAATTGAATTCAGTAGCACTCTAAATAATATACTTTCATAATAATCAAGAACAGAAATATGAGACATATTGGAATTTGGTAAATTTTATTGTGCCATTTCTCTGCATGTGAAAACAACACACTTCAAACAGAAGCTGTGACAATCTCATAAATGTTGCTGACAGTAATCCCAAATGCACATAATATCCCATCTGAATGTTAGCTTACTGGTGTAACTTCATACGTACTTCTATGAATTCTATTAATGAGGGCAAAAACGCAGCATACAAAGTTGCTAAAATGAGGTTAATCTTTGCAGAAAACAGTAGTCTACTCAACACTCCACCAGCAACCAGAAACAGCAAGAATGATGATAAAAACCTATTAAAGGTCTTATATTAAACTGGAGACCCAAATCTGTCACTTCCCACATGCATTATTGAGGAGGTGAGGTACATTGTTGGAATTTAGCAATTCATCATTAGAATACCCTTCAATACCCCATAAATTTTAATTCAAGGTAATCTCTAAAACAGAAATTATATATCTTTACAGAAATCAAAGAATCATAAAGCAGAAAAACATAAGTTATTGCATATTATATATATTAAAAAAAATCTGTGTAGTAGTGTGAGAGCTAAAGTTATCCTGAATTGTTTCTTTCATTATTTCAGAGAAAATATTTTCACAAACCATTGTTATATCTAGAATTTTTCTTTTACAAAAGCAGCTAAGAAACATAAGAAATGTGAGTATTAATGTTCATTGTTTTGCTTCACTGGACATATTAGACATTAAATATCATAGTTGTACAGTTCCTGTTACTCGTTCTCTGGCAGCTGTTCTGTCACCTCTCTGGACATCTCAGCTGTCTTTTCTACTATGGACACTTCAGCTGTCTTTTCTTCTATGGACACTTCATCTGTCTTTCGTTCAACTTCATCATCCCCATCATCAGCACTGTCAGCCCAGCGGCCCACCCGTTTCACACCTTCTCCTACCAAAGGTGCGTTAACACATGGATTATGGTCATAGATGATAATCTTAAGCCCTGTCAAGTGAATAAGTGGTGGAAAATGCTGTATGTGGTTCCTGTCTACATCAATCACTTCCAAACAGTGCATTTCAAGAAGCACTGGTGGAAATTTATTCAGGACGTTGCCTGATAACCAAATACATCGCAGCTCTTTTAACCTCGCCAGCTCACCAGGCAAGCTACGAAACCGATTGTAACCCAGATGAAGAGTTCTGATGTCAGAAAGCTTACATATTACAGATGGGAACTTTGTAAAGCGGTTGCTGTCTAGCCATAATGTCTTTAGTTCACTGAGCTGAGCCAGCTCTTTTGGCAGTTTGTAAAGTTGATTATTCCCAAGGTAGAGGATGTTAAGTTGCCGAAGACTGCAAACAACCGAAGGCAGTTCCACAAAACAGTTGAAGTCCAGAGCCAGAATCTGAAGCTTTTCCAGATTGTTAAGCTCAGGGGGCAGACTGTTCAAGTGGTTATTACTCAGATAAAGTTTAACAAGGTCACTGAAGGCACATACTCTAAGGGGAAAGCGATGAAGATGACGACTACTCAAGTCTAAGGTGCAATCATGCGGCATCTCCTTCAAGTCCCCTACCAAGAATCGCTCACATCGGTCTGATGGAATGAAGGCCACAGCTCCGCGAATAACATTTCCCATTATTCCATCCCACACTCATGGTCCCATCATGAAGTAGATGAGCTTATTAATAGAAATGGAAAAGTACATCATCCTTTGTCATCAGTAGTTAATATCTTAATTTGAGTAAGTAAGAATCCTTTATGGAAATGCTTGAATCTTTGGGTTTCACATTTTATATTATATACTCTTGATTTTAAATAGACTTTGCATTAATTGTTAAACAATACCTCATATGGTAAAACTGATAAGCATCATTACTTACTAAAGAGCTGCAGAAAGTTCCTTTTGAAGACTTGTATGAGTCTCTCCTCCTGATGATTAAATCTTCTTTTTTCCAAAACAATGTGATGGTTCTCTTGCCCTGCACTCTGCACTCCCTGTGCCTTGCTCTGAGCTTGCAGACTCCTGTGAGTGCCAAAGATGATACTCAGCTTAGCGTGCCCCTCCTCGTGCATGTTATATGAATTCCAGGCAGTGGAAAGCAGAGCACTGATAAGAAAAGTATGCAGTGGTTAAGGAATGTGGAGTGAACTGAGCCTTGTGCATTTATCTAGCCTCTCACCCACAACAAACACTAATTAAATAGCATTCAACAATTCAAGCCAGTCAAATGCCACAACAACACACAGTGTTTGACATTGTTTAGACAGAACATAAGCAATACTGATCAGGTTAGGAAAGTAAAAGGCACAAAAATATTTTTTTAGATTAGGCATAAAACTGTATGGTATATGTATATGATTTTAGTGATCACAATATGAACATTTTAATATTATTAAAATATTTTTTTTCCAGTACTATAATTTGATTAGATATAGCATGACATAATGAGAATAATAATAATTATGATGTAATTGTTAAAGTAAAATGTATAAAAGTAAAAATATTTTGGTATCATTTTGATTCCAAAATTGACACACAAAAATCTAAAAACCTAAAGTCTGACCACTTAAATGGGGTTAGATAAATTATACTTAAGTTATTAAGTTAAACTTAGACTATTAAAAACTCATAATAACATAAATTAGCCAGTTCTGTTCTCACATAGTTGGCATCGACGAAAGAAGTATGATTACCCTGTGATCCTAATCCCAATTTAATACCTGGGTATAAAATATGTAACCTTATGTTTGCACCTGCAGTAAGAACATAGAGATGGATTTTTACTGAGAGAGAGGAAGCAACATCCAAAATATATTCTTCGCTATCCAGTGCAGCCAGTATAGAGATCAGCCAGGTATGTGTCTGTGTGAAAGAATGGAGAATGCACTTTCAGAAATAAAACTGTACTTGTCGCTGGAGTGGAACTATTGAGGGTACGTATTTGGCACCTTTATTATGTATCCTCACCTAGTTCTTCAATTTTAAAAAATATTTAAGGTACATAATTGGCCTTTAAAGACCAAGGTACACCACATACACCTTCCCAGGAAAAAGATATATAATAAAAGAATACTGAGGCCTGCTTGATATTAAAACCCAAGTGACAATGAAAAGTACAGCTTGGTGCCTTTATTTTAGAGACATAAAGGCCAGAAGAATGACGAGACATGGCGGTAGGCTTTATACTGTTAAAGGATTTAAGTACTAGCATTCACAAACATGGTTGTAGGTTTTTGTTTCACAATAAATGGCCTATACTATAAGATTTAGGAAATTAAATTGTTAATTGTTAGATATGGCCAATATCAACTAGGCACATAATTTATGTCTGGCAACTTTAAAGTTTGGCCTTCTAAACACAAAACACAAAAACTGAACTGAACTGAAGAAGATGTGTTGGTTTATATTAGTTCTATTAGTGCTCCTTTTTTCTGAGCTAGGCAGTCATTTTGCACTAGGCACTTGTTTGGCCTTGGTAACAAAATATCACTCGGAATGAAATATTATACAAGTCTAGCTACGACTTCACAAGCTCGAGTGATCAGCCATGTTCACAACAGCAGAAAGTAATAATATGAACCCATTTCAGGCCTAAAATGATAGGCTCGGGGTCAGTAAGGGGTCAGAGGGTAAAGGCTATTCACCCAGCATTCCCAGCTGCAGGATACACAGCCATCTTGGATCTACGAGCAGAGGGGAAATTAATGCGGTTAGTGAATTCTGTCTTTATGAACACTAAAAAACACAATCCCGTGCGTTAAAACACGAACAGAAATGAACCCCGAGTAATAGTTTTTGATCATTTTATGACTGCACGCGCGCTGCGTGTGAACAGATAGTGCGGTACACACACGGGCTCGTACGTCTCTGTTTTTGTCTGTGCTAGCTGCGTTAGCATTTAGCTAGCGGGCTAACTGTATAAAGAGAAGCCAAAAGCCGCATACTAGCGTACTAAAT